TGACTCTTTGAGTGCAATGGATGAAACATGGACGAAAATGTCAGATTTTTAAAAAAAGTACCCTTTGTCAATATTTATCTTGTTTTAAATTTTAATTTTGCAGTTATATGCTTTTTCTTTAATGATTTTGAAGTGATAAGGTTTAATGACTAAAATAGATATGCTAATTAGGTTTCACAGGTCATGCTTTCTTTTCAAGAAAAAGGTGGTCAGTTTCACTTTCTATTAGCACTTTATAGAATCATTCTTACTTAGTGGAAGTAGCCGTTAAAAACTATAGTTTCATAGAAGATTCTGATTTGCTAGCATTTTATAAACATTGTCCTGTTGAAAATTACTGTATGCCAGCTGAAAAGCAATAGAAAATCAGTCCAGAAATCAGTCTGATTTACAGAGATTATATCTTGCATATATTTTACATTCAGATAAGAAAACCTCACACAAACATATGTCTTTTTCTCATAAAACTTTAAACAATTTTCTTCTCTTTTCAAAAAAAACAAAGATTACTTTAAAAGAATTCTGAAGTAATACTTCTGTTATAAATATTGCTAGTCTGTTCCAAGGATATATAAACTTCTGATTGACTTCAGTGTGCTTGAGTTAGGGATACGCTTAAATACCTTGCTGGATAGAAACCTAAAAGAACACTGATTACAATCCTTCTTTCTATTTTCTGAATATTGGAGAAGAGCTATTAAGTACAGCAAGCCTGGCAATTCTCACTTGGACCATAAACCAGAAGTAATGTCAGTAGACTTTTTTCATGCTGTTCATAAGATCCGTAATGTAAAAGCATCATGAACTATAACTATTTAAAGTCAGCTTTCTAGGACACTCTTATCACAAATATTTTACTTTTACAGCCTTTTGGTGAACATAGTAGCGTTCTTGTCTGTACCATTAGCTTGCTTTTTTGCTGCTTGGTTAGTTCCAGATTTTCATTGGTTATTTCCCATTTTGTAACTTGCATGGTAAAAAAGACTTTTCTCTTTCTGTAATTAGTCGCAAAATTTACACATGTTCTAATTCATAAAAGATTATTATCCTTGTCTTAAAAATAAGGCTGTTCAGAAAGTACAATTTCCATCATTACCTGAGCTTCTTCTTGTTGCTTCTTCAGTTGTTCCAGCATCTGTTGAAATTCCGCCTCTTTCTGTTCTGCTTCTTCCATGGTTGCTTGATTCTGTTCTTCGTAGGCCATGGCAACCACAGCCAGGATCAAGTTGATCAGATAGAAAGAGCCCAAGAAAATTACCAGAACAAAAAATATCATGTATGTTTTCCCAGCAGCACGTAGGGTCTAGGGAGTAGAAAGCATATCTGTATATTATTCCATCACTTACCTTTATTACTGCAACAGCATTATGCTTTCAGCTCATATAGAAATGAGCTTATTTATATAATTTTGTACGTCACCTATATTTACTTTTTATGTCACAAAAATTTCTTACCAGCTGATACAGGTTTTCCCAGAAGTCCTGAGTCATTAGCCGAAAGAGTGACAAAAAAGCCCAGCTGAAGGTGTCAAAACTTGTGTAGCCATAGTTGGGGTTTCTACCAGCTTTCACACATATATATCCCTCTGGGCACTGCCTATGTGAAAACCAAAGCGTAGGTACTTAGTCATAACTTTTATTTCCTTCTAGAAGATATTTAATATCTTTTGAAACAATATACATTATTTTTCCACAGGAAATTCATGAATTTTAATTAGATTCATTCAGGAAAAAAAAGTCCTAAGAAATGAACTAATAAGAGAGTAAATGGAAGATACCCTGTCCATCTGTTCACTGCTTGAAATGACCAGTTTAAATTCTCCTCAGACACATTTTGAAAATAGAATCTTTATTCCAAATGAATAATTTCCTGGCAGAAATAATTGCTAAAATGTTAAGGTTACAGACAGATTAAACAATATTATTAGCTAAATCAAATTGTTCTGTTAGGGATCTCCCATATAAAGCTGAGATTTATTTTTAATAAGCTTCTTCATTGTTGCCAGTTAGGTATCGGAGTTCAGCTAGCAATTCTAGGCTCATAATTGGGCACGTGTGTATGGCAGAATTTGCCAGTAATGAAAAAGAGTTAGGCTTGAAAAAAAATATGCAGTCTTGAACTATGAAGTCACTACTGTGCTTTCTTAATATTTTACATATTCTCTTTCTCAGTTCTAGCCTTTGCTTTCATCCTATTTCTTCAATCAGTACATCTCCAAAACAGACTTTACAAGAGTTCAGATTTTATCATTAATACCAACATCATTTTCCAATCAAGCAGGAAGAAAGGCTGTTAATGAGTATTTTGTTTAGCCAGTGAGTAAAATATTTTGACTTAAGTAAGAAAGCATTGTTTAGCAGTAAAACTCTGTAAGTTCTGTAACACTGCTAAGGAGTTGCAACTGCTGCAGATAGGTTTTATGTTACTGCCCTTTCTACAGAACATAACAGAGGATTTTTGAAAGTGTCTTACCCTGCATCAGAACTATTACCACAAAGTAGGGCATCTCTTTGTCCTTCCAAAATGTAAAAATGAGCTGTGTAGAAAGCATTAGAAATATAAGTAAATAAATCAAATTAACCTGGAAGTACTACAAAGTAAAATAAAAATAAATTGTAATAAAATCAAAGCCGCTAGATGCTGATTGCTTTGTTTAGGAACCTTCTGATTATTGTACTTGATTATTGGATGTATTTGGCCTCTGTCAGTCAGCGACTTTTAGCAGTTCTACATAAGGCAGAAATATAAACGGTTCAATATTCTTTGTTTGATCACAAATAGTTACACACTATAACCACAAATATATTAAAAATAGTTATATCAGACATTCTTACTTTCATCCTCAATGTAATCCTTCCAGTTAAATGTGCTCACTGTCATATTAACAAATGTACCATTTTCATCCATTGTGCTGTTAAAGTAGGAAACAACGTTTATTTCAAAAGTTGAATTGTCTGGAGGCCACTGCAGACATTTATTCCTCAAGTTGCCCATGAACAGCTGCAGCCCTATTAGTGCAAATACACTCAGACAAAACACAGTCAGGATCATAACATCAGAGAGCTTCTTCACAGACTGAATTAGGGCTCCCACAATAGTCTTCAAGCCTGCAAAGAGAAAAGATCCATAGATATATCAAAGAGTATCTTTGCCCTTCCCTTATAATTAAGATGTCATGCAGACACTTAAAAATAAATTATTTTTTATTTTTCAAAAAATAAAGCTTTGTGAGCAGCCTCAGAGCTTGTGAAGATGAATGAAAGATTCTTTTTTATGAATATGCAATGTACATATATTCCAATAAACTGAATATATAACGTTATTCTCAAGCAGGAAATTTTATCAATCATGCTTTCCTGTTATAGATTTGATTTTATTTCTTAATTTTTCTCTGCATTTAATATTCTGCCAATAATTAAGGTTCCAGTTCATATTAAATATGACTTCAGAACAGTATGAAGACAGAATGAGATAGAATGGCAAGTAAGTTTGAAGGGGAAAAAATAATTTGTATTTGATAAATTTTCCTGCGCAATATTTATCTCCTTTTTGGTAGCTTTTTTGGTGGTTACTTGGTTGTCTTTAATGTCAATTTTAAATGGTAAAATAAACAAAAAAATTCAAAATCAAGAAAGCCATAGCACTAAAGCTTTTCTAATGTAAAAGAGTCAACTTGTAATAAAATGCAGAAAAACAAAGCAAAATAACCCATAGGCCTCATATCTTATGTTTCATGCAAGAATCTGTTAAACTCAAAGGCTGATTTTGAAAAAAAAAAAAAAAGAAGCTAATGCTGAAAAGGCAAAGAATCATAATCCAGGCTTATGTTCCATGCCCTTTTTTTTTGTTGTTTTTTTGGCAACATGAGCAGTGAACAGCAAGACTTATGCTCAAAGGAAGTGAATTCAACTTCAATGGAACGAAAGTCAGCCTCAGTGTTTAACCTAGCTCTCACCTGGAATGACTGATATTGTTTTCAAAGCTCGGAGAACTCTGAATGTTCTCAACGCTGAGACATTGCCCAGGTCCACAAACTCTGTCACATATCTGTAATAGGGGAGTTCACACACAAACACAATGACAGCACACAAATAACAGTTGGAGATACGAGGGGCCTAACACCTTACACCAACTACTTCTTACCTGGAATTACAGAAATAGTTTTCAAAGCTCTCAATACTCTGAAAGTTCGAAGAGCTGAAACATTGCCTAGGTTTACAAATTCTGTTACATACCTGTAGGATTAAATCACAGTTATTCAGAATTGAGGCAGAGCTTATATTAATTATGTGGGTCTTCAAAACCTCTGTGGCAATATTAGCAATCATACTTCAAAATTTACCTGTCTCTTCAGCACATCTTGCTTTTGTAACTATTTATTTTGATCAATTTTGCTTAAATTTCATTGAAGTGAAACTCACTGATTTGTATTTGAACATGTAATTAAACTAATTAGTTTGTACTAGGCTGGTGACATGTAGTCAAAAGGTTGGCTTCCATTCTGGTGAGCAGAAGAGTATAAGACATGAAATTAGTGTCCCTCAGCAGTACTTACACTACTTACTGCCTGACACTCTATGCTGGCTCCTGCCATATTTTACTTTGATTTATGAGTAATAAAATGTGTGATACAGTGTCTAAACTTCACAGGTTGAAGAAATTAAATACTTTTAAATCAATATATTTATTATAATAATATTTGCCACTAATTTCATGCCCTAAAAGCTTAAAAAGTTCTTGAACCACTTACGCCATTAAAATGACACTGAAGTCAAGCCAGTTCCATGGGTCTCGCAGAAAAGTAAAACCTTCTAAGCAGAAGCCCCTTGCAAGAATTTTGATAAGTGATTCAAAGGTATAAATTCCAGTGAAAGTGTACCTGAAAAGCATCAGAGCAGGAATAATAGATTTTTGCATACTTACTCTTTAAGAAAGATGACTTAAAAGAAAACAAAAGTATTTTGAAGTGAAAAGAGGAAATCATTAATTTAACTTGCCCTAAACACTTATGAACGTAATTGTTGTCGTGTAGATGAAATTTAAACCTGACACGTATATACTATTCATTTTCTAAAAGGTTGATTTAATCTTAGTTTCTATGCTTGCAAATAATTTGAGACTAGTACTTATAGATACATTTTACACTTTGATATTTATGTGTACATTCTCTGGCACTCAGAGGGCTGCCTCTTTGCTTGCATTCACAAATCAGGTAGGTGTCTAAGTGCTACAAAAAAAATAAGAATTTTTTTTTATGTCAAAATCAGAGAGTTCTGTGAAAATTAGTTCTGAACAATAACTAGTCATGCCTATAATAGGGGTTTATTTAATGAATAATCATTACATATAAGAAAGCACGCCCAGACTGTTATTCTTGAAGATGTAGAACGTTTTTACCAGTTTATCTGGCGTGGGAGCAACCATTCATTTAAAAACATAGAATAGTCAGTTATCACCAGTGTAACACAGGGACTTCCTGAGACCCATGTGGGTCTGTGCGGACCTCCAGAATAAAGGAAATCTGCCTACAGACTCTACTGCTCTCCTTTCAGTCTCTCAGCAACCCTAACAAGCCGTAGTCACTGTTGAGCATAGTGGGAATGGGTGAACACTAGTGCAGTTTCTAAATACAGCATGCAGAGTAAGATTCTTTAATGCAGTGAAATAACTAAATAGAAATCAATAATGGCTACTTGAGAACAGGAGGGAATGAAAGAAACTACAAGTGGTTAGAATGAGGTTTTTCATGAGTAGTATTATTTCAAAGAAAAACATAACATTTCAAAGGAAAACCTGTATCTGTGTCTTGTCAGAGAACAAACATGCATGTATAACCATGAAGAAGGAAGATAAACAGAGATACTTTGTGGTTTCCTTACTTCTGTCAGCTCTTTGTTACTCCTTCGTAGGTAAGGCCCTTTCCTCAGCACTGTGAGTTTCTTGTGGTTTCAGTGTTGTGTGTGCTTGCTGGGGCTAGCACTTGTGAGTTCACATCAGTCAGACACAATGAATGTCCCACTGTGCTGAGATCATGCATACTCAATGTATGGCTGGCCTCACCAATGACATGCAACAATTTTATGTGCACATTTAACGTTTTGGAGCTCCTCTTCCAATTTGCAGCTCAGAACACCCAAGGACAAGACCTTGTGTTCATACTTCATAGTAGAAGTTCAGATATTCCTCAGTCATAGTTTTAAAGAACAAGGCATTACTTTTAAACCAATTAAATTATCCAGGAGGAAACCAGAAAGATATTAATCTCCTTCTGGCATGCAACTTTCCATAAATGCTTCTTGTTTGGCGTCATACCAAAAAAAAAAAAAAAAAAAGAAAGAAAGAAAAAATGTTTAACTTACTCTACATTCTTTGTCCAGTCTGGAGGGTTACTCATGGTCATAAATACACAGTTGGTCAAAATAGTGCACATGATAAGCATGCTGAATAATGTAGGTTATAGTCAAGGCATGTAAGTCAAAAAAGTATGATAGTTTTATAACACTGAAGTAATTGAAAATATTAAGTGTATAAAAATATGCACAAATAACATGATATTCTAAATAAAATCTGAAAATAAAGCTTTGTGTATAATATTATCTATTTTAAATTGTATGCCATCTGGCATGTTGATACACTTACTATAAAACAATGCATTACTTTTATAATTATGTCAGGTTTAGAATTTAAATGAAACTTAAACACATCCTTAAGTCTGTAAAAATATGAAATGAGTACCCAAACATAATTACTCATTGAAGCCAGCAGGACCATTCTAAAATACCTTTAGGCAGAGGTTGGTTGTTTACGCCCAAGTTGTTCTTTGGACATGATTGAAATATATTTGAAAATATTCTCCTTTATTCTGACCTGGATCTTTTATAGAACACATACCACAATGCTGAAAACACAATGCTGAAAAAGTATGCCTGAAAAAGCCCCTCTTTACTCATGATCCTTTGTCCTTGCTAAGTGAGTCTAGTTCACCAATAGTACTACTGGTCTTGGTAAAAGTGCGACCTTAGATGTGTTCAAGTGCAATGGTTTGTTACTAATTTGGCCTTAGCTGCAGGGCTTAGTATGGGATCAGGTCTCCTTTTGTATATAAAGCCTGATATTTAGACTCTGACAGCTTTAGGTGGTTCAGTAGAGAATTAACTTGGTAGGAATGAAGATCATACTGCAATTCACGTGTGATATGGCTGCTTTTTAAGTGTGATCAGCATACGTTTAGTTAGCATAATACACCCACAGTGACATAATTTGTATATCCATATGAAAAGTCTTATTTCAGTAATTAAGTAGTTTTAAATGGTAACCCTTAAATCAATATTAAGAAAAAAGGATATGAATGTACCAAAATCTTGATAGCAATTTTTCTGATGGGATTAAAAGGAGTTAAAATGTACAAGGCAGATGTGGCACTGAATCGGAAAATTGCCTTTCCTTTATTCAATACTATGAAAGTCTGCAAAAAAGAAATACAAAATTAAGATACAGTGTGGACTACATACATTTCTTTACCTCCTTCTAAAGGATTCCATTCTCTGCCTGGGAGTTTCAAATTCCATTCTACTATCTACCTGTGGCAGGAAAATAACTGATGTCTATGAATACAGTGGATTAAGCCTTCCATAGCAAATTCTCCAATTTGCTAAATTTCCCAGCATGTGGAGTAAATTCTGATATTATTGAAACTTGTGGAAATTATCAGCACCAGTGTCAGTTTATCAATAATAGCAAAATGCAGCATTTCATCACTAAAATATTTTCAGTTTTATTTCTAACATAGTATTTGATTAAAGTCAGAGTTTCAAATTAATCAAATACATTCTACCTTCTGAGCAAACACAAAGAAAACCAAAACCGCAAAAGGGCAATTATAAATGCCAGTTTGTATTTGGAACAAATACTTAACAGAATTATATACACATATATTTGTTGACAAGGACAAACACCTGTCACTATACAATAAACCATAATTTTAAAATAATTTTGCTTTCATTTCAGATTTTTAAATACTACCAATATCAATTATATGTATCCTCTAAAAATGTACCTGTGAAAAAATAAAAGGGATTAATAAATTGCCAGCTGACACCATTCTGAGCAGTCTAAGACAAATGTACACCAGAATTTGGCATCCTATTACAACAAATCCTTTCTTCAAAAAAATGCTTTTTACATTTTTAAGAATATGCTCTTACTTTCCCTATATGTAAGCATCAAATTCAGGTAGCTATCATCTTTTAAAATTTGACTTGGTAAACCTATGGTTCTTGTTCATTTCATTCTGTTCCTGTTGGCGGTCATCGCCTAAGTGTTTTCATTTTTATTCCAAGTGTATTTGTTTGTGAGGTTTACTTGCATCTTTGGTGCTGTTTGCAATTTCTTCAGGACATGACTATTCTTCATTCCTTTTGCTCTTTATCAATGGTAATGGCTCTGCTTTGTGCTACCATAATGGAGTCTTTGTTATGCTCCCGGCAGAGCTATATAGTATCACTGTTCTCCATGTTGATTTCCATTCTCCGTAAAAACTTGGCTGTGATCAGAAAAATGCTGCCCTCTCCATGGCCTTCACTGCCTATCTGGTCTGCCATCTCTGGGAGAGAAAGCAAACCTCTTTACGGTGGGAAAGAAAACAGGTAAAGCAGTGTTGCTGGTGCCTGTTGACAGAATAAAATAAAGCATAGCATTGAGGATGACAGAGACTGGACTTGCACTCATTGGCATTTCTCTCTGCCCTACAGTCCTTCATCCAGCTAGAAAAGCTAAAAAGATGTTGCCTGTCCCAAGGTCACTGCTGCAGCACAGCCTGAAGGCAGATTGCAATTCATGTACGACTTTCGCTGCATTGACAAGTCTTTTCTGCTATAAACTGGAGGAGGGATGACTAATTTTAGTTCATCATTTAAGATGTCCACTTGTTTTCTGTTGAGCACATTAGGCTGGCAGATAGCATAAATACAGACGTCACCTGTGACAAAAGATTCTGCAGTTTACTAGTAACTCTCATAGCCTAACAAGTCCATCAGTAGTTTGCGTTTTTACACTTTTGTTCCAAAAAATCTGACTGCTTTTTCTGATCATTGGAGGTTAGAAAGTATACTTCAGTACTTGTCAGGTTTTCTGATACTTCATTTGTAGAAGACTTCTTTAGAAAACTTTATTCCTGAAATTATTTATGCAACTTTATTCCTGATTTTATTTTGCAGCTAGTCAAGACAAGTGCTTACTGCACACAATTACATTGTAAGTGAGAATCTGCATGGAACTGTTGATATAACCAAAACCATATAAATGAAAATAACCCTTGGCAACACTCCTTCTCTGAGCTTTCATTTCTTTAAATTTCCTTAATAATGTTAATATTTATATTATCTACAGCACTGTTTGTTTAACTTCGGCAATGTCCTGGGTTACAGTGTAAAATGTG